CACAGGCTGCATGTTGACCCGCCGCACAAGCCAGTCAAACAGAGGCCACGACGCATGGCCCCACATCACACCAGTGCGGTCAACGAGGAAATCGACAAACTCCTGAAGGCCGACGCCATTCGAGAGATACAATTCCCAGAATGGCTGTCTAATACGGTGTGCGCAAAGAAGAAAAGGGGGAAATGGCGTGTCTGCGTAGACTTTACAGATCTGAACAAGGCATGTCCCAAGGACGACTACCCATACCAAAGGTGGACCAGCTAGTAGATGCCACTGCCAGATATGAACGAATGGACTTCCTGGATGCTCGAGCAGGATATCATCAGATCCCTCTCTATCCCCCGGATCAGGAAAAGACGGCGTTTATCACTCCGAAGGGAGTTTACTGTTACAAAGTGATGTCGTTTGGACTAAAGAACGCCGGGGTAACATACCAAAGACTGATGAATCGGATGTTCAAAAAGCAGATCGACAACACCATGGAGGTCTACATAGACGATATGCTGGTGAAGAGCAAACGAAGTTGTGATCATTTGACAGATTTGGCGGATACTTTCTCCACCCTCAGGGAGTATGAGCTGAAGCTGAATGCGGCGAAGTGCGTTTTCGGAGTGGAATCAGGTAAATTCCTCGGATACCTGGTAAGTCAACGAGGAATCGAAGCCAACCCGGATCAGATTGAAGCGATCCTGGACATCCGGAGCCCCCGCACTGTCCGAGAAGTCCAGAAACTCACAGGGATGCTGACTGCACTTAACCGTTTCGTCTCACGCTCCTCGNCTGTCAACAACAACCACCTTAAATACCAAATGCTCGATAGTCGACACAGATAGCACTTATACTGTGAATCCCATTCTTTTTAGATGCTATGGTTAAAACATGAAGCATTGAAGCCAGGAATTGACTAGTGAGGTTGATAAATTGTGAATTGGTTTAGTCCTTGTAGCCTCTTTCGGTTATCTATGCACGAAAAAGATTTCCACAACAAAGAATTAGCAGTTTAGCACCCAATTTAACATAGTAATGTAAAGACAGTAAATGACAGTTATCTCCAGCATTTGCTTTAATTGCTGGATGATGAGAGCTTCAATGCCTTTACGGGTTTTCTCAAATTCCTTGAGAAACGTATAGAATTTTCGATAGAGTTTTAATAATGCTATACTTCAATTAAAGATCAAGTCTAAGTTTTGTTTGCTTCTTTGATTTCATGTGTGTGTGTGAAAAAGAAAAAGGCAGACATGTAGAGGATTCCATTACTCATACACAACCAAATCCATGGAAGATTTAATACTTAGTACTAAAATACTTCTCTTGTTGCTAAACTTATGGGAGGCATTAATTATTAAGTACATTCCAACCTCTCACCATATCTTCTAAGTGTATAGCATGAATGCATTAACTTCATCTGCTTTTTTTCTCCTAAATTCTTTTATTGTGAGATACTTTGTTAACAGAGCCAGCACTAGATATGAAATACTTACTAGCTTGATTGGGAGATTTGAGTCTGCAATAGAAAGTGTCAGATCTTCATTCCACTCAGGATTGACATTCTTCTTTATCACGCTCGTCTTTAATTTCTGTTTCAAGTATGGGAATTTGAATAACATTAGTTAAATTGATCCAATGGAAACTTGAAAAGTATAAAAGTTGTATAGAAGAATCACTTGAAGAGAAGAAAATTAGAACTTGAAATGCATCCAATGTAAACGTCTCTCGTAGATTATCAATTGGTCCAGAAGTTGGATCGAATCTACTGTCGATCCAATGACAACTGATAAATGTGAATTCAGCCAATAAATTTGGTTGATAAACGTGATGGATGTATCATTATTGCACATATCTATAATATAAAACAGACAAGACTTCATTAAGTCCATTCGACGATCTCAAATAGACTCATCCATCGGTCACACTCCTTACTTCTCTAAATTAATCGGTTGATTTACGTAGCACCGTGCCTTCAGACATGAATCGAATTACCCCTAGGACTATACAAGTCTATGTCAAAGTCAACTCTTTGTGGGTAGTATAAGAATTATGGTCAACAAAATAACACACCATGAGAAAAATTGACAGCTTGAAAAGTTGATCCCAGAAAAATACGGGGTATAATTCCCTTGTGCCCTTCCGGTATCAACCACTACATAGGAGCGATAGAGAAGCCAAGCCCTATAAGGCCACGAGCAGCCGTTATAGCAATAGCAAACGGCTTGATCTGTATTTCTGATCTACGACCACCATTTCCACTTACTTGTGTGTTCTCCATTTAGGACGGGTGTATTTGTTCCTTATCCAAACCTGGGTATGGATAGAATTCATCTATGAATCCCATGTACTCAAAGGTGGGGGTTGGGTTTGGAAGGGTTTGATAACACCAATCCAATCCCTCCTCCCAAATGATGAGAGAGAGAGAGAGAGAGAGAGAGAGAGAGAGAGAGAGAGAGAGAGAGAAGCCAAATAAAATTATAGGATTAACAAAAGCAACAACTGACAAGCCAGATATGCAAACAGAAGGGTGTATATTGATTCTGACTACAACTAAAGTAAAGTTCAGCTTCAACAATAGGATGAGGTCAAGAGGAATAGGAAGAAGAAGAATCAAGTAGCCAGATGGCTAATTTTCATGGTTTTTGATTGAACTTTAAGTCACAGAAGATTGAAGTCTATTCTCCAGCCGAAGAACATTCCACAGCAACAAACTCAAAAC